TTTTACATCTTTGAGTTATTTAAGGCTTGACGTGATTTCCTTGTCTGCTTTTCTCCACCACTGATTGTGAAAAACATTGCAAACACGTACTCTTGTCAGCACAATCACAACCAACATGGGGATAATGAAAAGACAGAATTGCTACTATTTCTCATTCAAGATGGTTGCATGAGGAAATCTTGGCTCCTGGAAAGAACTAGAATCAGCTCAAGTCCATAGGAAGTCAATTACAGCACCTTCTGTGCAATGCAATCAGGATAAATGACACTGCACTCCACACAACTTTTATTAGAATTATAGCCCTTGCCTTGGCTATCTAGGCTGCTTAACCTCATAGTCAAAATGATGAGTAGCCTTTTTTGAAGTAGCAGGCCTCTCTCAAATCTCACTATTTAAAAGAGGGAGAATTCAGTGACCTGTAAGGTACTTTTCCCCTTGCCAAACATCCTGTCTAATCAAGACCTGAGGGTGGCCTTGGTCTAACCTGGTTCACAAGGAGGCCACTGCTCTGCTTTTGTCACCTTCTTTCTGTTTGAATAAGGTTGCCACTCTTTTTCCTTCTCCTCTTAGAGATGTGTGTGGGAAACAGTTTCAGTGCCAGATTTAGCGTATCTTTCAAAAAGCCAAAGACCTTCCAAAAATGCAGGCAACATAACACCAGCCTTTGACATATTTCAGGTCATTACTGTTAAAATTTCTAAGAAGTATGGGCTCGCTGGAAAAAAGAGGGGGATTTGCATAGGGCCCAAATCCTACACTTTAACTATCCTTGATATATCCATGGAAGAACTTGGAGATAAATCTGACATGTCTCATAGCTTAATGTCCTTGAATTCTTTCCAATTTTGGCTGAGCTTATCATGTGGAAGGTTTAGCACAGGAACAAGATGCTGTTCCTTGCTTTGAATCATGTAATCAATCAACCAAGAGGGCATAGTTTGAAGGCTGTTCTGTACAGCTTGCCTGTTAGCAGTGCTTTGCAACCCTGATACATTCCAGACACAGAAAACAGATACACTGTCTCACTTCCAGGAAGAAATGTTTTATACACTGCCCCACAACACAAACTGCAATCTGAACCTGTTTCCAGAAAAACACTGGACACTTTGGAATATTCTACAATATAGGAAGCATTGAACTCTGTTTCACAATTCACATTTTGTTCCTGTTCATTTGCGATCGTTGGGTCTTTCCCCTTTGCAGCACACTATGGGAGGCTGGGCAGATGGCACATCTCAGAGACTGTAGCCTTGAATGAAGCCTCACATCCCAAACTATGAGCATCCACTTATCAGCAAGACCCTGGCTTTGCTACCCTTGGGGCTTACTTGATGCTCTGAGGGCTACAGATGTGTGTCAATAGGTCTCTCATCCACAGCTAGATTTGAGAAACCAAATCACATTCTCTGTTTTAGTTAGACTGAGACAACAACTGCCCACAATCAGCTGGTCCCTCCAGATCAACAGAACCAGAGAAAGTGTCTGATACAAAACGTAGGTCTGCGACCCAACACTCTTACTCTTCTTCTCCTATATGATGTTTAACATCTTTGCTTGATTAAAAAAAAACCAGTGGAAGTTCAAAAGCTGGCATGAAGTGCACAATTCTTTTATTTCGCTGTTTGGTCAACATGGCTATCACTGAATATATTTGATATAGTAACAAAGGGATCAGATGAGCTCTGTCAGTGGATGTGGATTACACCTGCTGTCCAGAAATTAGTTGCCATCATTGCACCTTATTTATTTATTTAAAACATTTATATTCCGCCCTTCTCACCCTGAAGGAGACTCAGCACAGCATATATATGGCAAACATTCAATGCCAGGACAAGAATTCATATATGCATACATAAACATTAAAAACATTTACCATTATTTTCCGGCCTATAAGACAACTGGGTGTATAAAACAACCCCGAACTTTTCCAGTTAAAATATAGAGTTTGGAATATAAGACTACCCCTCTTTCAACGCACACCGAATAAAATTTTTAAAGGCATCAGATTTGATTTCAATATGGTAATTTTCCTATTACTGTACCTCCTTCTCTGCCTCTCAGATCTCACACATGCGCACCTGCACCGCTGCACTACAGTCTTCAGGAGCGAGATCTGAGAGGCAGGGAAGGAAGTACAGTAATAGAATACAAGGGCAGCCCAGACAGGTAAAAGAGATGTGTTTTTCTGGGCCCAGAGCCACTCTATCTGCAGCTTGCTCTGCCCTTCACTTACACCTTCCCGGTGAGGCACCCCTTCACCTCCCCATTTGGACCGCATTAGGTCCACGAATCCTGATGAATGGATTTTCTTCTACTGTACTTGTACAGCATCACCCTTAATACTTTCATACAGTTGCTGCATACGGCAGGGACGCGGCCGCTACCATTTTTGAGCTCCCCCCCCCCCTCCACCATATGAGGCAACCACAGATTCTCCAATCCGGATTGGAAGTTTCAGCACCTGCTCTCTAAGACGACTACATGTGTATAAGATGACTCCCGGCGTAAAAGACGACCCCTGACTTTTGAGAAGATTTTCTTGGGTTAAAAAGTAGTCTTATATGCCAGAAAATACGGTTTCTCAATATTAAAATACACCATTTAAAACCGCCCTGGTCATCTGCATCAAACCTAACTGGCCTGGCAATCTTTCCGATTGCTGCTTTACTGCCCTTGAATTCCTAAGAGGTGATTTCCTCCCCTCCCCCCATGCTTATAAGATTACAATGTATGCAAAGTCTAGGAAATGACCTCACAGTGCTCTGTCTCTCCCTGTTCAGTATTAGGCTTATTGCTTTAGGATTCGTACATTGTCTTGGATGGGGTCTGTTTTCCAAGCTGATGTTCATACTCATCCAGGTTGAAGATGCTAATCTTCCCTTTAGTTTCAGTTTATAATAATAATCATCATCATCATCATCATCATCATCTTTATTTATATTCCATCCTATCTCCCTGAAGGGACTCAGGGCGAATTCCAGACATAAAAGGCAAACATTTAATGCCTGAACATAACAACAGTACACCCATAATAGCGAAAATTAACAGCCCAACATATAAAAGTAAATTATAACTTAACAACTAGAATTACATAAAAAATGCAAACTATTATATCAGATATTAAACAAAACATCAACATCAAACAGAAGCATCAATTTCCCAAAGCAAACAGAGTTCCTTGGGAGAAAATTAGACTGATCATTGCTCAATGTATCTATTGAGGTAATGGGGTGAACAGGACACAAAATTTTGAACTCGGAAACATATATCAATCTGTGGCCATATCATTGTCTATTAAGTGAGAACCTGTGCTTCATCAACTGGATGGGGATCATATCTTGATCTCAAGTAATATATTAGTATCAATTTGACTGACTGATGGGTTGTTATGGGGGAAGCTGCATATCATGGCTGTATCATGGCATGGAAAGAATTATTATTTCACTGTGCATACAGTATCTAATCTCACTAATGCTGCCCTGAGTCGCCTTTGAGCTGAAAAGGGTGGGATAGAAGTGTGATAAATAAATAAATAAATAAACAAACAAACAAATAAACGCTGTTAGGGCTGGTTCAGGCCTTCTGCTTTTTTTTGCTGTCCACAATGCAGCTTTTTCTGAGCTTTTGTAGACATTCTTGGCTTGATATTCTCAAGTAGGAAAGTCAATATAGCCAGGAGGTCAGCAGGACAGTAGACATTTTCTTAAAGAAGCTAAAGGTTGTTTGGTGCAGAACTCATTTTCTTCCATCAGCCTGTATTTTTCTACTCTGGCAGAGTTTCTCTTTTAGACCAGGGCTGTGGCATTTGCATGACATGTACTGCAACCCTCCCATTTGGCTGAAGTTTGTGCTATCTACCTCTTGTATCACCTGGGGTACTAAGGCAGATGAGCTGACATGGAGATGCTACCACAGGCAGAAATGAGGTTGGTGACAGCTGACAATGGGGTGTGTTCAGTAGCAGAACACATTTTAGTATTTTCTCTGGGTCAGATAAAAACCTTTCTCCAAGGCTTTTAACTGTTTTTTTATTTTCAACTTCTAGCTTTATCATAAAGTTTTACTGCTGATTTTACATCACCTTTTTCTGCTTTTGTTATTTTATTGCTGTTTACTACTTCATTATTAATGTTCTGTTACCTTTTACTGAATTCATTTTGTAATTGTTATATTATTTTCTCCAGGCCAATATGTATGTCTGAAAATCTTTTTAATAAAAACAAATATTTATCTTTATGCAATATTAGATTGTCATTCTTTCCAGACGAGTGGGATGGAAAAATTTCCAGTGGTATATTTTGCCATAGTTTATTTTTCCACATTATAATACACACACTTATGTTTATGCAAAATTCTCAAGAGTTGTTATAATGCCATCAATTGTGTTAGATGAGCTCAATTCAAGACAGTTCTAGTTATTCTTCTAAGGACATGGCTTATACAATGGGGAACTGAGAAATGAAATATTCTACTGGGTTGTTGTAGGTTTTTTCGGGCTATATGGCCATGTTCTAGAGGCATTCTCTCCTGACGTTTCGGCTGCATCTATGGCAAGCATCCTCAGAGGTAGTGAGGATGCTTGCCATAGATGCAGGCGTAACGTCAGGAGAGAATGCCTCTAGAACATGGCCATATAGCCCGAAAAAACCTACAACAACCCAGTGATTCTGGCCATGAAAGCCTTTGACAATACATTGAAATATTCTACTACCATAATCTCCACATAACGCTTTTAATGTGTTTGAATGTAAACATTTAAACCACCTGTAGTAAATCAGGTAACATTATTTATAACACTGTAGAATGTTCCTACTTTTTCCAGTTGTATTTTTTTTCTGGAAAACCCATACCACGGGTTCTCTCTCTAGGCTAAGGTACTTTTTTGAACTGCAAAGCCAACAATGCTGGTTGGATACTCTGGGAGTTGTAGAAAGTCCTAGTCTCTGCTTTAATGATTAAATTGCCAATTAAAAACATATTTAAAAATACAAAAATATTACCTTTAGATCACTTCCAGGTAGGGTACCAATCCCATCCTTCCAGTCCATTACACTAAACACGTCAAAATCTTGTCCACTTCCACTTGAAGCTGGTTCAGTCATGGTGATTATACTGTAAAATAAGAAGCATAAGGAAAATGTTTTCACTAATTCAATTGCACATTATGATGCTTCTTCTTCACCACTATACTTTCCATGGTTTTCACAATACTTGCCTGCCCCTCAATAATTATAATGCTTTGTATCATAATCCAGAGTTTGGAGATGCCTTGTTAGAAGAAAATCTCACTGCAATTGAGCTCTCCAGAGCCCATTAGAGTGCATGCTGAGCAGAGTGGCGATTGGGGGCAAAGGGAAGAAATGTGATTTATTGTTGAAACCACAAAGTTTGTCTTGTTACAAGGGTCTCAAGATAGAGCACAGGTGGGGATGTCTCTCTACTAGTATAATCACTTCATACATCATTTTACCACCATATTAATTTGTATGTGTACCAGTGTTTTCCAAACTGGTCATTTTCAGATGTTTTGGGACTAGTCCCAAATAAACTAGATCTACTGAATTTATAGTATTTACCTAAGTCAGCAGGAGATTCAATAGGTAAATCTCCACTGGAACTTGCTGCTGCATTTAAACCTTGGCCTACCAAGTACATCAGTCTTTGTAACAACAACAAAAGGTTTAAAGGCGCTGTTATCCCCTCAAGATTAGTGGACAGTTTATAGCACCATTATACAAACAAAACTGCCAGACACTTATTTTTGGAACTGCTTCAGGTGATACACAGCGTTGTTGAGATCCTAGGCATATATAAAATCCAACTATTTCCCAGATCTGTGTCCATCCTTAAATTAAACATAAGGGATTCTTGTAAGTTTGAAACAGAAGTAAAGAACAAAATAGCAGTTACTTATGAACTTTATTTGGGACAAACTAAAACATCTAAAAAACACAATTTTGGGAAAAGCTGGAATACAGGTTTGCAGCAATCTCTGCTATGTGCTGTTCAAGATTTCGATTGCACCAATGAGTGTTAAAGCAAAGAAAATAATGCCTGGTTCACATTTTTTGAAAAATGATGCTAGGCACTACTCAAATCTGTCTTCAAGTGAAGTATATCTGGTACAACATATAAAATTAATTTGCAGCTCAGTTCATACGCAACTGCTAAAGCGTTCTGTACTCCTGTTTCATACTTAACAAGGATCACTTATGTTTAATTTAAGGATGAAGACAGATCTGGGTAATTGTAGGATTCTATATCTGGCTGGGATTTCAACAACTCAGTGTATTCATCTAAAGCAATTCCACAAATAAGTACCTGGCAATTTTGTTTGTATAATGCTGTTCTGAACTGTCCAATAATTCTCAAGTGATAATGAAGAGCTTAAAAAATATGGTGCTTTCAGAATAATGGCATGTGGCTGGCTACTACATCCGGCCAATTTAATGCTTTTAGGATGCTACTGCTTTTGAATTCGTGAAACAAGTATTAACAAAACAACAGAACATGTGAAGAATGTTAATATTTCCTGGTGTATATTATGAAACAGTAAACAAATCTCCATCTTATTTTTCTGCATAATCAGCAGGTTATACAATTGCTTTATTTATAGCAATTGTATAACCTGCTGATATTTGCTGCCTATTTAACACTATTATAAATTATATGTGCTGTAAGCAGAAGCCATTACTATGAACAAGTTTCATCAACCTTTCATTTGGGTGTATTCTGCTGGATTTATTTTAGCTATGAAAACGTTTTGGGGGGGGGGGGAAGAAATATACCTTCACTTGATATTATGACGATAATTTAAAGTGAAAATATTTTTAAATATATATTTTTTCACAAGTCCCCCTGATCAGGACCACAATGTGGCCCCAAGGCAAGTACTGGCTTGAACAAACATAATATGAAAAACCACTGGACTAGAACTTTCCAAACTGTGTCACAACATGCTAGTGTGTCGACTGCATTGTGTACGTGGGTCACATAAATGTAAAGAGAAACTTCTGAGTTTATGTGAAATAACCAATAAAACACATATTTTAAAGAATATAAAAAAGGGTTTCATGAGAGCTATTGTGTTCCCATACATTTAATTATTACAATTTATGTACATGTCCATATCTTTTATAAGGGGTTTGAATTCCTGTGTCACAAAATGATGCATGTCTCTGAGGCAGACCAAACATTAAAAAGAGTGAGGTAGTTGCTCTCTCAGTTCACTTTCTAATTAGCTTGGAAAGTTACTTTTTGAAACCATCTGCTATTTATTTATGCATTATTAAGTCTTTTTCCACATATGTTGCAATTGATGTTGTAAAACAATTTAGTTCCTTTACATTGTTTGCTTCTTTTTTAAAAAGAAAAACAAACCTTAAAGTTTGCTAAACAAATGCTTCAGAAATTGGAAACTTTCAGCATAAACAAACCTTCCAACATTTCATAGAACATGTGTGGCTGAGCAGTATCAGTGTGGTATATCTAGCAAAGGGTAAAAAACACACATGCTAGAAGAAGATGCAACAGCTGTCTTTTGCACGGGTCTAGTAGGGGAGGCGGGATCCTACAACATTGATCCCATCAACGTTGCCATATAATGAAGCTTGAACTGTATTATAGGGCTTTAGCACAGCGGGTTAAATCGCCAGCTGCAGAAAATCTTGCCAGTCGAAAGGTTGACATTTCAAGCCTGGTTGGAGTCAGCCCAGCTTCTGCTCATTAGCAGTTCAAAAACAGCAATGTGAGTACATAATTAGGTACCTCTTTGGTGGGGAGGTAATAAAGGCGCTATGCGGACATGCTAGCAATTCAATTGGGAGAGCATCTAAGGACAACAAAGCTCCTTGGCATGGAAGATGAAGCATCAGTACCCCCACCCCCCAATCCGAACCCGATGGCTAGAGTCGAGCACAGCCTCCAGATGCCCAAGATGGAAAAGCTGAGAAGCCTTTACCTCTGTTTATGTACTGCCTGTCTTTGCTAATTGTATGACGGCATTGAATGTTTGCCATATATGTGTACTGTAATTCCCCTCGGGGAGACAGAGCGGAATATAAATAAAGCATATTATTATTATTGTTGTCAGTGTAGACTCATATAATGCAAACTGAACTGCATTGAACTGGATTAGATTTACACTGCCATATAATCCAATTCAATCTGCATTATAATGGCTGTGTAGATGGGTCCTAAAACTAATTTAAACTGGATTAAAACCACTTGATTTAAATGGCATTATCATCTACAACAATTTGTTACAGTTTTATATTGTTTTTATATTGCTTTCAATTGTGTTGTTATTTGTTTTATCTGATGTTTTAATTGGTTAAAGTGTTTTATATGTGTGTTTTAATTGTAATCTTGGGCGTGTCCCTTGTAAGCCACCCGAGTCCCCTAGGTATAAAAATAAAGTTGTTGTTGTTGTTGTTGTTGTTATTATTATTATTATTATTATTATTATTATTATTATTATTAAACTGTCATGGTTCTATGCTATTAACTTGTGGAATATATAGTTTTGTATGCTCATATTCACAATTTATAACCAGCCTGAAATTTTCATCTAGCATATTAGTTATTACCGAGCCCTCTTTTAAGAACAGTTTGTAACACAACCTGACAACATTGGCCCACTAACCAACTAGGCACTATTTTTTAAGTTCCTGTTTCAGTGCTGCTGCATTTTCCCAGCATTCAGAAAACAGTATATTATTGCCAGGATAAGTCAATTCTTCGTTCTTACAGAAGGTCCACTGCAATATCAAGTGCTGTAATCTAGTCAGTAGTGTCAATAATACAGCTGAGCAAAATTCCTATTTGGATATACTATTATCATCTTCCCAACAGCATGACTAAACCTGCCAAAAGAAAATGAACTGGCACAGGAATTCAGTAATCTGAAGGTAAAATGGGAAGAAAGCTCTCTCATATATCTTCCCATGGAACACTTTCTTTCTTTCTCTCTCTCTCTCTCTCTCTCTCTCTCTCTCACGCACATATATATACAAAGAAAATTCATTTTTAGACTCTTCATGGCTAAACTAAAAGAAAAGGCATCATAAAAGAGGTAGACTATGCTAGGTATTCACCATCTCAAGGAAGCGAGCACTTATCTAGCTTTCTTTAAAAGATAAGAGATGAAAGAGTAACATAGCTAAACTATGACATCAGAGCTATCACTCCAACCAGTTATTCTTGATTATGACTTGTAGGACTATACCAAAACGCTAAAATGATATAGGAGAAAACTTGGAACTAAGCATAAGGGTGCTTCCACCTAACCACATAGCCCAGACTATCAAGGCAGATAATCCACAATATCTGCTTTGAACTGGACTATCTGAGTCCACACTACCATATAATCCAGTTCAATGTGGATTTTATACAGCTGTGTGGAAGAGGCCTAGATCATGAGTGGTCAAACTATGGTTCAAGAACCCGCATGCAGCTCTTTGATATACAATGTGTGGCTCACAGAAACAGGTTGTTGAGCTCCTTCTTGCATTACACGTCCTATAAAAGGTAAATGGAACTAAAAGAAAACCTTTCAAATTTTATAATTGTTTACCAGGTAGAAAGAGAGAGTCACATGGGATAAAATGTATTTTTAATGTTCATGATGTGTACAACTGAGTATGGGATTAAAGAAATTTTGGGATTAGCAACTATTATAGATGAATTGAGCTGCAGAATCAGCAATAATACAAATTGGGACTGGTAATATTAGTTTAGCTTGCATTTACATGATTGTGTGGTTTGTGGCTGGATCTACACTACCATATAATGCAGTTTCAAATAGCAGATTAACTGCATTGAATTGGATTATGACTCCACACTGCCAATTAACCTGTATTTCGAAACTGCACTATATGGCAGGGTAGACTCAGCTTGTATTGCTGGCAGTGAATTTAGGCCCCATATACACTGCTATCTAATGCAATTTCAGAATGGAAATTAACTGCATTGAACTGGATGGCAGTCTAGACTCATATAATCCAGTTCAGTGCAGTTCAATCTGTATTATATGCATCTACACTGACCATATAATGCAGTTCAAACTGCACTATATGGCAGTATAGATGAGGTGTTAGTGGGGATTAGTGGTT